TATCATGTTTAATATTTTTTTGGTTTTTTTAATTTTTTTGGCATTTTTTATTTTTCTAACATTTTTTTATTTTTTAGCATTTATATTTTTGCGCCTTGCGCTTTTAAAACTTCTGCTACAGAGGATGTATCAATTGGGGAGTAAATGCTACTTTTATTGCTTTCTTTCCTAAAAAAGTGGATGCATGCCACCCAGGGACTTTAGGCCAATTAGTTTGGTGACAAGTCAATACAAGATTTTAGCCAAAGTCCTGTCCCTTCGCTTGAAAAAGGCCTTCCCATCGATTATCTCTCACTTCCAAGGGGCCTTCATTCAAGAAAGGAAAATTGCGAATCAAATACTTATTGCAAATGAGTGTGTGGAGGATTTTAGAAAATCCAGGAAGAAAAGAGATTGTGTGCAAATTGAATCTGGAAAAAAGCCTATGATTGTGTGGACTAGGAGATTTTGATAGAAGTGCTGGAGAAATGTGGGTTTGGAAGTAGATGGGGCAAATGGATAAAGGTTGCTTACAATCTTGCCAGTTTTCAATTGTGCTAAATGGGGTAGTCAGAGATCTTTTTAGGCTCTAAGGGGTATAAGGCAAGGAGATTCGCTGTCACCTTTTCTCTATACCCTTCCCTCATACCTCTCCTCCACTCTGAATCTGTCTTCAAAATGCCCTCTTTGCCTCTGCCAAAGATAAAAGATTTCAGGAAATGGTGTCCACCATGACACCTAGATCATCCCCCTCCAAGGACATTTTTTATGAGGTCATCACAAGGGTTGCTCATTCAGTCTCAACAATTGATTATTTCATAGGCATCCAAATGATGTCCACAGTGAAAGATTGTTTCCTCATATCCGTGTCCTCTTCACTGCGTTTGCAGATAGTCTGGTCTTGGCCACCTTCTGTTCCAAGTACCAATTAAACTAAAATTTTTGTAATTGCTAAGTTGGGAACCCTGGCTCTCCTGACATAGTGATTTCACCAGCAACTGTTCTAAGTTTCTAAGATTTTCATCTATGCATTTTTTTTATAAATGATTAATACTTTATTGATATAAAGAGCTTAAATCAGTACAAGCATCCCTTTGAGAGGCACGAGTTGCAACCTTCCCCAAATTTAAAACAAAAGAAACAGATTAAAAGCAAATTACAGCTGAGCCCAATATAAAGTATCCCTGTTTGTCCCTTGTTTAGCAAGACAATCAACCAAAGAATTTGCTGATCATCTGCCCCAGTGTACTCTTACATTCACGCCCCTCGTATACCATTTAAATTTTTGAATTTCATCTCTGTACTACCAAGGAACAGAATCCAAGTTTTGTAGCCATCCCACCACCACCTTGTAATCTCCTTCTATTATCAAATTTACTAGGCTAAGTTGGTGAGCAATCTGAATTCCTTGTAATGCATAGATTTTTCATCTATGCATTTTCTGGGCTTGTGATTATCAGAAGCTTCATCGGGGCAGAGATTTAACTGTTATCTAGAACCACAACCTTTCTTTTACCCGTTTCTGAGGAATGCTAGATGAGGGAATTCAGTTATTGTGATAGGGTGATTTTAGCAGGTCAACTATAGGCCTGTGGAAACTCCACACTTCATCAGAAAAAAGCCAGAGTTATCACATTTAGATTTGACAGGTAGTTCTACTGGACACAGAAGCCATGTAATGCCAACAGATTTGCCAAGAGTGGAACTTCTAGCCTTCACAGTAATGGTATGACTGCCTCCTTATGCAATTTCCTCTTCATCAATTGCTTTAAAACATTATGCTCATTTTCTTTTTTCTTTTTTTTTTTTTGAAGATAATTAAAGAAAAAATTATTGCTAAAATGAAAACAGTACAATATAACTAGGTGACAAGATGCCACCCCCACCAGAATACAAATGAAACATTGCAAGATCACAACAAAACAAAAACAACACTTCAGGAACAAAAACAGACATCAGCATTCTTTTAATGAATTCAGAGAAGTCCAGAAATCAGCACCAAAATCTTTTTTCTTCATCCCTTGAAACTCTGGAAGCAGCAGTGCCCATCCAATAGCTGTCAAACTGATAACAGCCACCACCTCTTCCATACTTTTCTTTTTCTCCTCAAAGATTCTTCTGTTTCTTTCCTTCCAGATCTCCCAGCAAACAACAAAGGGAATACAGGTCTATAAAATCTTAGTTTTAACAGCACCACGGATTCTTGGCCAACAACTAAAAATTTCAGCTGTATCTGCCATATAGCTCCTGTCCACCTTGAACAACTTGAAGAAATAGGACCAAACTGGAGATGTAAAGCTGCAATGAAGCATTAAGTGAGAAACATCTTCCTCTCCAGCAAAGCACAGCAAACACCTACTTGGAAACTGAAGACCTCTGACAATCAACCAAGCAAATGCTTCAGCCCTTGGTAGTCCTGGGTTAGAATGCAGCCTCTCACAATCAACCAAGCAAATGCTTCAGCCCTTGGTAGCACTGGTTTCCCCCAAACACCCCTAACTGGATCAGCCTCCACCTGATTTCTGATCAAAGCCGAGTACATTGATTGACTGTAAACTTCCCATCCTTACATTCTTTCCATAATCTGACATCTGCAACTGAGGGATTGATCTCCAATGCCTGACGTTTTGCCAACAACTCCAAACACTCTGCCTCCCAATCAAAAAGGGGTCTTCTAAGATTTGGATTCCAAACCACAGCACCATTAACTACTTTATAGCACTCTGAAATAGGTAATCCTTTCTTGCTCAGATTGTATAACCTTGGGCATATTTCACAGAATTTCCCAACCCCCGACCAGTCATCTTCCCAAAACCTTATACTCGACCCACCCCCCACTTTCCATGTATAGAAAGGGATCATCAAAGAGTTGAAACGCATGATTCCTTTCCAAACACCAACTCCATACGAGTGTTTCACCTCCCTTGAATCCCACCCAAAGTTCACCACCCCATACTTACAAGCCACCACTCTCCTCCAAAGGGCCTCCCTTTCTCTTCCAAACCGACTTCCCCAATAAAGCTTTGTTGAACATGCTCATTTTCTGTCATTGTCATTTCTTAATTGTTATACTAATTTTCTGTTCTTAATTTCTATTAATATTAGGATGCTTTGTTCTGTTATACAAATTTATGAAATTTGTTAATTGTGAACTTGTAAATTTGTTGCTTGTGAATTACCTAGTAAGAACTAGAATGCAATGATTAATGGTTGATAAGCTCTTCTTGTCTGTTTTTTTTTTTTCTTTTTGGTTATAACTTGATTAGGCAATGCAACCATTCATTGTATCTGTTTCTAGAAAGCCTCATAAGTATTTTGCTTGGAAATTTGTTAAGAAAAGCTCCCCACTTTTGTATTTATTTTATATCATCTTTAATTGTTTATGAATAAAGAATATATTGTCAGGAGGCTTATGCCGCTTGCACTCTGGCTTATGCATCACATTTCTGCATTTTAAAAACACTGTTTACTCCTTACTTCTGGTTAACATGGGCATTGTCTTAGGGGTATCTCTTGTTTTTTGATCTTACAAAAGTTTTCCTTCATGCATATCCAAAAGAAAAAGAAAATATGACTAATAAAACCGAGATGAATACAAAGCAACTTTTGTAGCCTCTAATTTGCAAAACACTATTTACTTATGCTGCATACAAGTATAAGCTAACCAACATAAAAGAAAATCAAGGGTCCCCTTGACCTCTATTGGTTTGTCCCACGTATATTTTTCCAGGTCAAAGATAAACCTGTGGTTTGTAAGTTTTGAGCAAACTACTCCGAATTCCCAACTGTGTTTATAGTTTACCTCAAGTTAGAAGAGGATAACAACTAACTAGGGGTGTTCGTTATATGGTCTAGACTGTGAAACCACACCAAACCAAATCCTTATTAGAAGTTTAGTCTGGTTTGGACTTAAAATGGTTTGGTTTGGTCTGAGAATTCCTCAAACCGTAATATTTTGGTTTGGTTTCATTTTCTAAATTTTAGAAACAAGACCAAACCGTAAACCGTATTAAACCAAATTATTAAGGATATATTTATTTATTAATGTATATAGTATATAATAATATGTTTAAACATATGCATGTATGATTGTATGTATATATTCATTTAACATTTCATACATTATTGATGTTTGTTTCAATTTTTTAACTTGTAATTTGATGCCCAATGAGCTGTGTATGTTTGAGAAAGTGTAAATGTAATTTATATATAAGTGACATTAGTTAACACTTCAATTTGATCTTTGAATTATATTTGTTATTCATGTAGATATGCATGTTATTTGTGCTTTCTAACTTGGTTAAGCCCAATAAAATGGTTCAAACCGTACTATAAACTGGACAAAACATAGAATTGTTTGGTTTCTATACTAAAATGATTTGATTTGGTTTGAGAATTTCTCAAACCGTAATTTACTGGTTTGGTCTGAGATCTCCTCCAAACCGAACCAAACTGGACCCTGAACACCCCTACAACTAACGAAATGACAAGTCCAGTAGTCTAAACAAACTTCAGATGCTTTTATTTTATCCACCTCATTGTTCTTTCACTTCTACCTTTATTCATCACCTTGTAGTTTTCTCATCTTAATCAAATCTCAAGTAGTAGGAACAGAGAAGATGAATATAAAGCATCCCAATATGTTGTGGAACGCGTCATCAACATGCTAATAATTGAACTTCAAGCTTTTTAATATTCTAACAAGATGATGGAAAATTTTCAAGTAACCCAAAGCTCATACAGTCCTACCTTCTAGGCTTCTACATGTAAGAAGCACTTGAAGTTTAAAAATTCGCCCTGAACTAACTATTATAGTATTATTCTAGGCTTCTACATGTAAGGAGCACTCGAATTAGCAGTGAATAGCCAGTGTTTTATGATTATCTGCCCAACGCCCGTATCAGTGGAAAATTTTAAGTTTCGAAAATTAAAGCGAGAATCAATAACTTCACAGATTGAAAATTTAGTTCCATTCGAATCGTGAAATTAAGAAAACTAAACAATGGGAAATTATCACTTACCTCGGCCTCATCAACATGCTTCCAACAAGTCGGTTCTTCTCCGTCCCAACCCCGATCACCAGTATCATCTCTCCCTCCTCTTCCACCACCGCCGGCACCCCGATTCTTAGTACCAAAAGCACGACCTTTAGAAGAATCCTCGTCTTCAGATGAAATACTAAGCAATTCAACCTCAGAATCATCATCGTCATCGGCAGCTCGACGAGATTTCTGCATCTGAGCAGGTTTTACGCTAGGGTTTTTCGGCGCAGAACCCTTATGAGGAGGTGGAGGTGGTTGAACAAGATTAACGACTGGCTTCGAAGTCTTCGAAGCTTGGGTCTTCTGGTAATTGAGATCTCTCTGGGCTTGCTCTTGCAAAGCGATCTGCAGAAGCTCGTCCTCGCTGTCGCTTGACATTTCAATTGCTTTATCTCTCTTCTGTTACTTCTCTGGATCTGACTATGAACAGTGATTACAAATTTGCCTTTTTCCTTTCCTCTTTGTAGATACAGTGTGAAACGAGCAAGGTGATGAAATGAAATGATGAGTGATGAATACGGAAAAGTCTGAGGTTTGAGACAGGGAGCGTGTTTTTTTCCCCTCTTCTTGCTGGCTTTACTTATCTGTCGTAATGCTTGTGTACGATCGTACGGCTATAATTTTCCAATCTTTGGAATGTCTCTCAATGTGTATCGTGTGCCGTTGGATATGAATCTTTGTTGTTGTTTTGTTATCGTGTCAGATGCCGTTCGTTGTTATATGAATAAAATCTTATGGTCACAAAGGATTTAAATGTTGATCTTTGGCAACAGATTATCATCTTCCTCTTTTCATTTTTGTGCAACGGCAGTTAGTCATGAATTATTAATTATTTGCACGGGGCATGTTGATACACTTTAGAAATAGCCACCTGTAAATGCGGGCCCAGTCGATATAGGTCTGTTTTTCTGCAAAAATTCAATGGATAAAATTTACTGACTTGACCGTGGTCTACGCGTCTAGCATTCTTTCTATTGTCATAGGAGTGCAAAAGAATCGATTAGATATTGGGATATAGGTAGATGGAAGGTTTAGTGAAAAGGTAATTTAAGAAACTTATTGGATAACCTATCAAAAAAAAAGGTAAATCTCTTAAAACTACCCCTATTGTCTTTTTGCGAAATTGATTTACTCACTCCTATACAATTGACTAGCTCTACCCTGCTCGGAATGGGCTGAGGACAATACTATCAATTTGCTCGTAAGCCGAGGTGGCCAAGGACTAGTAGATTAGTTCTGCAAGGAGTGGATGAAGGAGGGCATCAGAGGTCTCCAGTTGGTGCCCGAAGCGGAGCTTCCAATGCTCAAGTTAGTATGAAAGGTATAAGATGGATGAGGTCTGAGGTGTAAGCACTAAAACTAGGCCACAAGAGTTCTCAAGTGCTAGCTAGAGAGTCTAAGTTTCAATCCTTTACCTTGAGGGGGGTACCTTCTATTTATACTTAGGCCGCCAGGAGGTAGGTGAGCTCAGACGGTCCGGATACGGTCTGTACGCGAGGAGCGCAGTCATCCAAGGTCGCCAAGTGACGCCACGCCATTGGTTCTGGAATGCACGTCAAGCTCTATTCTGCATGCGCCCTGATTAGGTCTGCTTTGAAGGTTGCCGCCTAAGACGTGCCACCCTGCCATTGAGCGCGGTCACATGCACCTACATCATTTGCCCCCCAATCTCGAGGTTTGAGATGAGGGCCTCTGCTTCGGCCGAAGGGAGTGTGCTAGTTGTGTTGTGGGAGGCGCCATTGGGCCTTCTAGGTAAGGGCCTCGGCCTCGTTTGTTGGGGATGAGAATGACGTGGCCTGTGGTGGTGTCAACTTGATCTTCATTCCTTTCTCTAAGGGATGTCGTAGAGGCTCCTTCTGTTGGGAGGCCGAGGCCTCGAGGTCATTGGTGTAGGTGGACGAGGGGAGACCTTTCCCCCCTGCCCTGTTTCCGTGTTGGTGTGGAGGCAAGTCCGTGGAGGCCACGTCTTCGGCTGTGGGTGCCAAGGGCAAGGCACTTGGGTGCCCAAGTTGGTGACTTAACTACTTGTGAGGTGTAACTCGCCATCGTCGGCCTGTGAACCGTAGAGTAGACGGGATCCGGGCGAGTCGGGTCGCACGTTCACTAGGTCAGCACAGTTGGGCGAACCAACGAGTTGCGGCAAGAGGACCGGTCGGTTCGCTCGGCGTCATTTCGTCTTCCCGAGGCAAGCGATGCCTATTGGTCAACGAACAAGGTCGTATAGGCGATCGCTGCGTAGCCATTGGATCGGGTGCGATCTAAACCATCCATTTTCCTTTAAATAGGGGCCTTAGTCATGTTTTTTCTCGCCATTTGCTTTTGGGTGCCCTTGCCTTCAAGAGACCTTTGCTTCCCAGAGCCCTCGACTTACTCACTTTCCTTAGAATTTCCCAGCCCTCGTCCTCTCCTAGGTAAACACTTCATCATGTCTTATTTCGATTTCGGCCCCGAATGCTACAAGCTTCCTGACCTCTCGGGAGCGAGCTCTTATCAGACCCTTCGCTTGCCAGTTCTGGTCGAGGCTCATCGGTAGCCAAGGTCCCAACTCCGAGGCATGAGGTCGAGGTGCTGAGGGAGAGGACTGCCCCCAAAGGCACCTAGTGTGGCCAATGGGGCGATGGTTCTCCTTGTGAGAGCGCCGCGTCCGTGACGCCGAGGGGTCCCCCCAAGTGGTAATGGGGGAAGAGGTTCCTGAGCCCAGCCCGAGGACGGTGGCAGAGTATGCTACCCAAGGGGTGATGATAAGTCGTCTGCCATGCTCGGAGTACAACAGTATTCTTGACTTCAACCATGTGAAATCCCTAGCTAGGAGATATTACATTCCCGGGTCCTAAAGACTTAGGGTTCCCGACACCGGTGATTGGCCATGGACGTCGAAGGGGGGGGGGGGAATCCGTGTCTATCAACACTTCCTAGAGTTTGGCCTCAAATTTCCCCTTCATCCTCTGGTCTCCGAGCTGTTGAGGTGGTATGGGATAACCATTAGCCAGCTAGCCCCTAATGCCCTTAGGCCTATTATTGCTATACGGGTGGTGGCTCGGCTTCAAGCCATGGACCTAACACCGAAGTTATTTCATCCTATGTTCGTGCCGAGGTTGACGTGTATTACTTCACCATCGGAGAGGCCGACCCATAGACAACCCTTCGTCTATCCACAACTAGAAGAGCAAGTTCTTCTTCATTTCCTGTCCCTAGGGTCGGCCGTTTAGGTCGAGCTGGGGGGAGATACACCAAACATCCGAGAAGGTCGTGCCTTTACTTTGGGTCAATGAACCCACTGCGGTATCCCACCTACTCCGGTTGGGGACACTCTGGGCCAAGCCCCTAGTGGAGGTGAACATTCCTTTGTTTTTCGCTGGGCTCAGCCTTGCCCCCCTTGGCAGGAGAAGTCCTATTGCCGACTTTTAACACGTCGATCTTTCTTTTTACTTGGAGGTACTGACTCCCCACTTCGTCTTTTTGCAGAGATGTCGGTGGATGCGAAGATGATGCTACTAGAGAGCACCATGGCCAAGAAGAAGGCCCCAATTGAGGTGACGTCGGGGAGGTAGATGCCAAGGAGGCCTGTTGAGAGGGGGTCCAAACCTGTCGAGAGGACATCCTGGCCTCAAGCCCCCGCTAGTGGAGGGGGTGATGAAGGGAAGAGACTAGCCGAAGGGGACCGGTAAGAAGAGGCCGGCCGAGGCACCTCATCCTCCTCCCGGGAAGAGGTTAGCACACAAAGACTACTCGATCAGGGGCAGTGAGCGAAGGAAGGAGGCCCATGCTGCTCTGAGGGGGCCTTTGGCAAGGGGGCCCGTGACCTGGCCTTTGTCTGACCATCATCTTCATTGGAGATTGTCAAAGAAACTCCTCACATGAGTGTTCCGCCCTAGATGGAATGTCCAGGAGGGGGCTCTATTGATACCAAGGGGGTCGGTAGAGCTTTAATTAAGGGGATGATCACTTAGGGGGATCGTCTCGGTATGATGAATGCGGACCCCATCATCATCCGGGATCAAGGCCTAGACTTTCTGGCCAAGGTGAGTTGTGGCTAACTTTTGCTCTTGTTTGCCTTCTTGATCATTTAGGGGATCGATTCGGGCTCCTCCTCGATCATTTGGATCGGGCTATGAAGAAAAATGAGTAGCTCATAATGCGGGTGGCTTCGGCTAAGAGTAGTCGAGATGAGACCCTCTCAGCTCCGGGAGAGAAGCAGCCCTAGCAGATGTTGGAGGACGACCTGAAGGCGAAGAAGGCTTAGACTGCCAGGCTTCAAGAGCAACTAAAGAAGTACGAGCTTGAGCGTGCCCGTCTTGACGGGTTCGCGTTGGAGGCCCAAAAGCGGGCTACGAAGGCCGAGGCAAACTTTCGAGACACCATCCTTGTTTGGAAGATGACAACGGAGTATCAAAAATGCCTTGTCGACTACGTGGACGAAGCCTACCTGGAAGGGATTGAAGACACAGAGAAGGAGTTGTTGAGGCTGATGCCAGACTTCCAAGTGGAGAGTTGAAGGTGCTCCCGGACATCGACACCCTTCCCCCTAAGGTCCCTACTGCTGTCGAGGACTCTGTTTCCGAGGGTAGTACGTAGGCGGCCCGCCTTTCTACTTTAATTTTTGTTTGTTTTTATGTTCATCTTTTTGCGCCTTTGTTGTTTTTTTCCTCTTCTCTTCTCTTCTTTCTTTCTTTCTTTTTTTTTTTTTTTGCTGTAGTAAAAGTTGTTATCCGAAGTGGCCCATTACTTAGTCGCTTGTTCTAGGAAGTTGAAGGGTATTGGCCAAGGTCGAGTTGTGCCGTCGAGGGCATTGGCTGAAGTCAACTCTCTTGACATGCTCCTTGTCCCCTTAGGGATCGGTTTGCTGAGGTCGAGGTGCTCGGGGTTGCATCCCACTGGACCTTTGTCGCGCTAAGTATTATGAAGCCGAGGTGGCCTGCTGCCGTCGAGGACCGGGGGGAGGTGTGTAATACCTTGGTCGACCTGGCTTATCTTTTCCTGCTTGGCAAGGTACTTGGACTATTTTTAGTGTGCTTGTTTGTTATAGGCTGAGGATACTAGCCAATCTTTGCAGCCAAAGCCTCTGTTACTCTTTGCCTTAGCGCAAAGGCTAGGCGAATGTTTAGTTCGTAAAGAAGTGTATGTCCTGACCATAGTCCAGTCCGAGCGTGGGGCCTCTGGGGAGGCTATACGCGTCGGCCAGTCATGTGGCTGAGGGGTCTTGGCCGCTTGTAAAAAGAAAGAACTTGTATACTAAATCACTGGGCCAAGGGGGAAGAACTTTGCACTAGCATCCATTGTTCGGTCATTAAGGGTTACATTCATTGGTAATATGTCCGAAAATTCTCCGAATTCCACGTCCGAGGGACTGGTCTTCCATTTAAGTGTTCGAACCAAAATGTGTCGAGGTCGATGACTTGCTTGACTTTGTAGGGACCTTCTCAATTGGGGCCGAACTTGCCTACACCAGGCTCGGGCACCATGACTTTTCTGAGGACGAGGTCTCCTTCTTGGTAGTGTCTCTCTTTCACCTTGAATTATAGTAGCAAGCTACTCTCTGTTGATAGGCTGCTACTCTTATTTGCGTTTGTTCTCAGACTTCTTCCAACATGTCTAAATTTGTTCTAAGTTCTTCATTGTTCTCGGCTTCACTGTACGCCTCGGTTCGAAGCATCAGTTGGTCAATCTCTATTGGGATGATGGCCTCAGTGCCATAAGTTAGGTTGAACGGGGTTTCTCCCATAGTTGTCCGAGGTGTCGTCCGGTATGCCCACATGACGATGTTCATTTCGTTGGCCCATAGGCCTTTGGCTCTGTCGAGTATGGTCTTCAGCTCTTCTAAATTAGTTTGGTTTGTGACCTCAGCTAGGCCATTGGTCTAAGGATAGCCTACCGAGGTGTACTGCTGCTTGATGCCGAGGGAGGCGCATCATTCTCGAAATCACGCATCATTGAATTGCTTTCCATTGTCAATGACTAGCATGTGGGGGAGGCCGAAGCGGCAGATAATGCTCTTCTAGAATAAATTTTGTATCATCCTAGCTGTGATGGTGGCTATGGGCTTGACTTCGACCCACTTGGTGAAGTAGTCGATGGCGACGACGAGGTACTTTTCTATTTTCTGTGGCTTGTGGGAAGGGGCCAAGGAGATCCATGCCCCATTTGACAAAGGGCTAAGGGCTTTTAAAGGCCGATAGGGTTGTTGCCGGTCGATGGGAGATGTTGGAGTGTCTTTGGCACTTATCACATTTTTGCACCAGCTCAGCTGCATCCTTCTGAACTGTTGGCTAGAAATACCCTTGCCTTAGTGCTTTTTGCAGCAGTTGCCTTCGTGAATCTCTTAGAGCACGTACTCACTCTCAGCTTTTTATGGACGTGCCTGTACCAAAAGGAATGATCTTTGGTACAGATTCCCTTCAAGCAAAGTGTAGTGTGGGGCCTGATGTCGGATTCGTCTGGCCTTGTTTTTGTCATCGGGCAACTACTTGGTCATAAGGAAGTTGATGATAGGATCCATCCACAAATGGCTCGACCTATACCAAAAGGACTTGGACTTCTTCAATGGAGGGCCAGGCTAACTTTTCCACGTGAATAGTGCGACTAACGGCTGCACCCGAGGTGCTCACCAACTTGGATAGGGTGTCGGCTCTCATGTTCTCGAACCGTAGAACTTATCACAAGGAGAAGTGCTGGAAGTGGCGAGTTAGTTCTTGCACCTTGACGAGGTACTTGGTTATGCTCTGCTCCCTAGCCTCGTACTCGCCGTTAACTTGGTTCACCACCAGTTGGGAATCACTGAAGACCTCAATGTGCTGTGAGTTGAGGTCCTTTACGAGTTGTATTCCGACGATGAGGGGTTCATACTTGGCTTCATTGTTGGAGGTCGAGAAGTCGAACCTCAACGCGTATTTCACTTTGGTGTTATCTGGGGTGAGGAGTATGAGGCCGGTTCCACTTCCTTTGGAGTTGGATGATCCATTGATGAACAACTTCCAGGTGGGCCGAGCTCCTTCATCCGACCGAGGTCTTTCTTCTAGTTCTTCTTCGAGGGCTCGACGGAGGGCTTGGCTGAAGGTGCACTCTGTCACAAAATCTGCTAAGGTCTGGGCATTGATTGTAGGCCTCGGTTGGTATTGGAGTTCTAACTCAAACAACTCAATAACCCACTTGATTAGTCGTCCTGAGGTCTTGGGCTTGGTGAGGATGGCTTTGAGGGGTTGATTGGTTAGGACTGTGATTGTGTGGGTTTGAAAATCTGGCCCGAGATTCTTGGCCAAGACCGCCAAGGCGAAGGCCAACTTCTCCACCTCGGGATATCGGGTCTCGGCGTTGAATAGAACCTTGTTGACATAGTAAATTGGTCTTTGTACTCCGTCTTCTTTGATCAATTCCAAGATGATGACTTCAGCTAATAAGTATAAGTACAAGACATCTCCTGGAAGTGGTTGAGTGAGGATGGGAGGTGAGGCGAGGTAGGACTTCAATTCTTCAAAGGTGTGCTGACATTTTTCTGTCCATTGGAAATTTTTTAGTTTCTTGATGGCTTGGAAGAAGGGTAGGCAACGGTTGGCCGATTTCAACATGAAGCGGCTGAGGGCGGCTACTCGACTGGTAGGTCTTTGAGTTTCCTTGACCGATTGGGGTGGTGCCATATCCAATATAGCTCGGATCTTCTCTGGGTTAGCCTCTATGCCTCGTTGGGTGACGGCGAAGTCTAAGAACTTGTTTGATGTGACCCCGAAGGCACACTTTTCTAGGGTTGAGCTTCATGTTGTATCTTTGCAAGGTGTCGAAGGTCTCGGCTAGGTCCACCGTGTGCTTGTTGGCCTTCAGTCTTTTCACCACCATGTCATCCACGTAGATTTTGAGATTGAAGGGCATGAGTTTATAGCAGTAAGTGCCGTGCTTAGTGATGAATGAAGGGCATGAGTTTATAGCCGAAGGCACACTTTGTTAACAAGGTGCTGGTAGGTAACCTCGGCATTATTGAGACTGAAGGGCATGAGTTTATAGCAGTAAGTGCCGTGCTTATTGATGAATGAAGTCTTCTCCTCGTCCTCGTGGTGCATTTTGATCTGGTTATATCTGGAGAAGGCATTCATAAAGCTGAGTAGCTTGTACCTTGCGGTGGTGTCGACGAAGTGATCTATTATCGACAAAGGAAAACTGTCTTTGAGGCAGGCTCAGTCAAGGTCTGTGAAGTCAATATAGATCCATCATTTTCCATTAACTTTCTTTACCATAACCACATTTGACAACCACAACCAGTTAGGGTAATGTACCTCTCAGATGAACCCCCGACATCGAGTAGCTCGTCACCTTCCTCTCCTATAGCTTTCAACGCTTCGGTGCAAAGTTCATCTTTCTTTGTCGGATTGGCTTAGAACTTGTGTCTACGCTCAGTAATGACCGAAGGGTCAATTCCAGGCATGTCAACGGCAAACCAAACAAATACATCGACATTAATTCTAAGAAAATAGACTTTTCAGGGGAATGTTGGACCTATTGTGAACTGTTTTATCGGACTCAGCCTCGTCTAGGGGGACTTCTTTATGGAATGATACTTGGTGTTCAAATCTTCCTCTGGCGTAATTGTTCCACCCTCTTTTCTTGCTTTCTGTGAGTAGGGACGATGCCGTTAAGGATTTTTATGAACTTATTAGTGGGTAATTGGTGTGGGCTCCCAGATTTCCTAGGAATTTAAATGACTAGGAAGTGGATCTCTTAGGAGTGTTGTTAAGCAGCTTGAGTGCTATCCAACCCAATCCCAACTCTAGGGATGTCAGGCAATCGGGAAGGAGGGTCAATTCTCAATTAGTTGCTGCTACAAAGCTTCTACTAACAGGGGTGGTCAGGGTCCATGGTTCTGGCTTTGGAAAGTTCAGGTCCCTTCAAATATCAAATTCTTTGTTTGGTTGGCTATTAAGGACAAGGCTCAATCTACTAAATCTCTGTTGAGACGCATAATGGAGCTAGATTCCACTTGCAGACTTTATGGAGTAGCTTCTGAGTCCATCCATCATATCTTGACCCACTGCTCCTACACCTACCAAGTTTGGTGCCATTTCTTCAGGCTGTTCCAAGTGGCTTGGGTGTTCCCCACATTTGTGGCCCATCTAATCTCAGGTTGGAGGGTAAATTGCTTCTCAAACAAAGGCCAATTCTTGTGGAAGTATCAGCCTTTAGCAATTTTCTAGGTGGTGTGGAAAAAGCGCAGCTAGAGGATTTTTGAGTCTAAATCCATTGAAGTGGAGGTTCTTGGAAAAGTGGAAAGGCTGCTTCTGAGTTGGGTTAGGTGCTCGAAGCTTTTTATGGACGTGCTTGCTAATTCCTTTTTTGATTAGTGGCTGTCCATCATTTTTTTTTAGTTATTTTCTGTTGGTATCTTTAGCTCTTTTCGTACATGATTTTTTTTTTTTTTTTGTCTTAAAACAATCTTACATGAGGAGTGGGAGAGATATCATAGTATGAAATATAAGCAAAAAGGTGGCTGTTTTGTTGTAGTTCCTACTTATATGTACAAACCGAATAAAAGTAAAAGAGGAAATTAGTCTTTGTAAATGACTTCTGTGGAGCTGATTTGTGCATATCATAGGCACTCTCCTTTAAACCGCACCAAATTGGACATCTCAGTGTGCCCCCATAGAGATCGCTCCATGCCCCATAGGCATATCTCAGTGTGCATTGGAAACATACGGTTGGGATATATTGTAGGGTGTCGATGTTTTTTGATTGCTCCTCCCTCCTTTCCATTTCTCCTAATTATTGTCATGGCTTAGGCTTTACCGACTTTTTATTCTTATAAACAGACTTCTTTATTCCTCCCTTTTTTCTGTTAGGATTCGACTATCATATGGAAAAGATATGATATCCGAAAATCAACAATAAACGAGAATCATAAACGTGGTAGGAGGCACGAAAGAAAAAGGACCGCGAAAGAATGAAAGGAAAGCCAAAAGTCACGGATCGCGATCCGTGTACTTTCTAATAGAGAATCCTGATTGTTCCTTTCATTCTAAACCCAACGATCATAATCTATTCGCGCCACATCTCCTAAAATTTAAAAGATTTCACGCTTTGAGAGGTTGCCTATAAATAAACTAGGCAACCCTCTAGAACTCCAATCGAAGCAGTTCGGCGAATCCTTTGTTGATCCTTTTTATCTTCTCTCATTATCCATCATTCTGTTCTGAGAAATGGCAAGAACCAAGCAAACTGCCAGAAAATCTACCGGAGGAAAGGCTCCAAGGAAGCAACTCGCGACGAAGGCTGCTCGTAAGTCCGCTCCCGCGACCGGAGGAGTAAAGAAGCCCCACAGGTTCAGGCCCGGAACAGTGGCTCTTAGGGAAATCAGGAAGTACCAGAAGAGTACTGAGCTTTTGATCCGAAAGCTTCCTTTCCAGAGGCTTGTTCGTGAGATTGCTCAGGATTTTAAGACGGATTTGAGGTTCCAGAGTAGTGCTGTGGCGGCCTTGCAGGAGGCGGCTGAGGCTTATTTGGTTGGTTTGTTTGAGGATACCAACCTGTGTGCCATCCACGCTAAGAGGGTTACTATTATGCCCAAAGATATTCAATTGGCTCGGAGAATCAGAGGAGAGAGGGCTTGATTTTACTCAATTGCTCTCTTTTGTTTCCTTTGCTACTTGGTTTTATATGTTTCTGTCTAGGATTCAGACTTATCTATTAACATCAAATGAAGAATGTAATGACCGAAGCGATTGTTCAGTTTAGTTAGTTCTTACTCTCTTTTGTTACCAAACCTGCGTATCGTACTTAAATTGGGATTTTCTTCTCCTTTTCTTTACTGATCCGTAATTCCAGAATCTATTAGCTTCTAAACTAACTTTGGTCTGTTGGACATTACTCCAGAGGAGAGGTAGTTGAATTGGGCTGTGGTGTGCGCTCAGTGGGCAGCCGATCCGATCAATCATTATGTGATATTTGCAGTTCTACAAAATGAGTAAAAATGCGACAAAATAGTAACTTATGTGAGAATATGCCCACGTTAGTGCATGCGGAGCAAGCAAATGTGTATGCCTGCAACACCAGCAGCTCCACATGGTGAAGCATGGATGTCAAGTAATGCAGTGTGTGTGTAGAAGAACAAACCCTCCATACCTGACCCCATCATTTTTTTTCTACAAGAAAGCCCAAAGTGTGCTAGTGCAAAACTATGTCGTGGCATACTTAACTATGTTAATCATGTTCTAATTGGGGATTAAGGGTTTAAGATTAATTCGTTACCGGGATTTGAATCATGAGGTCCAGGATATTCTAGGTGATACTGCAGAGACATGATATATAAAGCAGGGAAAGCAAGATCAGCATAACTTCCATCGTTCAGGTTGATTGGTTACTTCAACCAGCCCCTGGAAGAGATGCAGGGTCAACTGCATAATTATGGTTCTGCAACACAGATTTTTGAACAGAACAAATGACAATAAGCAGGAAAAAGACACTGATGTGCCATATTATCTTTGGATTAATATTAAATATGAGGTGATGTTTACAGTAATTACCAGGCTAATACCCATCTACCTTTAAATTCAAATTAAATTAAGAGGGTTTTATTAACAAATACACATAAATGCACAAGAAAATGAACATGCCTGATAACTTATCTTGACACAGCCATTTCTAAGGTTGTGAACTGGGTGGTTTCCTCCATGATGGCCAAGCTTCATTTCCTTCACTGTTTCAACAGCATAAGGAACAACAGATGGATCTCCTTGGCCATTGCTAAAAAGAACTCCATCTGGATTCATCTCCAGTGTCTTTCAAGCTGGCCATGTTGAAAGGACAACTGTTATTTTGTATCTGTAAGATGCCGAGCGAGTTAATAAATAAGGGTGAGAAATTAAGTCACAAGAGTGTCTCAGCATGGCAAAGTCTATGTTATACTACTAACATGAAAGCTTTCTCCATCTCCAGCACAATTCTTGAATTTTCATTTTGAATCTGTTTTATCAACCCATTTATATGGGGCCTTGCAGAAGACATCACTAATCAAATCAACACCTGCAAAATTGCAAAAGAAATATCAAGAGGTTTGATTCTCAGACAGTTTCCTTACAATCTTAATTAGATCATAGAAGAAATCTGCAACAATGTGAATCAAAACTAGTGCTTCTCGACTTTTTAACCAGTGAACCAAATCTTACCAACAATATCCCATCTGCAGGACAATTCCAACAGTTAGGATTCATCAGTGTTTTAATAACAGCTATAAGGCTTCCATCTCTTGATCTACGTGTAATTGCTCTAGTGTCCACAACATCTATTATATACGAGAATAACATTGAAAATAATAAATTGGAGGGCAAAGTTAAAGAATCAGGAGAAAGGATCTATGATAACCAGAGAATATTTAATGAGTTGTATGAAAAGAAAAGCACATAAAATACTGATAGAGTCACTTATTCCATGGTGTTCCTTTGTGCCAAATAATCACCAAGAGTTTCTTTGCATCACCAGTTTGAGGTACTGGAGAACAGTTCATTGAAAATACCATCAGAAATCATATATGCTTCTAAAGTAATATTAGAGCAATAGCAGAGTATGCTTACCTGATACTTAAACTTCTAATCACTAAACCATCAAGGAAGCATTGTATGACAGTAGAAGATATAGGTCATAACTTGAACCGACAAAACCTATCAAAATTAATGCCGGTATTCCCAATATGCAGGTTTGTCATCAAGACAAAGTGGACAACATAACTAGGGTCTGTAAGGATTTCTTGATACCTACAGAAACACACTCAAAGTAAGGGCCTATACAGTTTTTGGTCCATAGCACAGCAAACGCCACATTATGAATAACACACATATAAGCACTATCAGTATCTGTAATGAAAACACATATAGAGTTGGTTAGAGTGTTTTTTTT